TGCTGCCCTCTATTGCCTTGTCCCCCTCCCATTTTGGGTCTGCTAAATTTCTCTGCAGTATCACCTGCCCTGCAGAGCTGGGTGCTAAATTAGCCTTTATTGTGTGCTGGCAGCTCAGAACATCACAGCTCGCTAAGCCCACAGGGAACTGTCTCACATGTAGGTCAGCCATATCAACGCTGTGTCCCATCCCTGCTGGGATGCTGACTCAAACTGCCTGCACAAATGCAAGGATATTTGATTAAAAATAGATTGTTTTTGTTTGAATTATGCAGCTTTGGTGCTCAATTTATTCCCAAATCCTTTCAGCGCATGTAGTTTATCAAACTAGCTGACTCCAGGCTTTTTTTTTTATTGTCCCCTGTCACAACGCAAAAAGGGGGAATTGAACCTACCCTTTGTCCGTTCATTCATGAATGTTATGGAAGCAATAATTAAAAAAAATAAGTGAGGCGCCCACTTCCATTTTTGTGTGCATTTGCATCTAGGCATAAAAAATATTATTTTCAAAATCTGGGCTGACATCTCAAAATCCAAGAAGGCTGTTGCCATATTTGTAAATCTAGTAAGCATGATAATTTGAAAAATAAACAACAGGCCAACTTCCATTTAAGTGTGTGGCTGCATCTAGATGTAAGAAAGGTCACCATTGAAAATTGGGTTGCCACATCAAAATTCAAGATGGCCACCACCATAGATATAAACTGACCACCCTGATCATTTGGGGAAACTAAGCTTTCTGTTTTTAAATTGCTTCAATGCAATAAATTAAAAGCTATATTGCTTCATTTTCCTCGAATGACGGAGGCCGAAGATTAATCTGTGGTGTCCAAGGCCACCATTGGCCACCCCCTGGCTCTACCACTGCTCCTCTCCCCTTTGCAGGATCCGTCACTCTGAGCTGCCTCAGACAAGAAAAACAAAACCTACGTCTCTTCTACTACTCAGTATAACGTTTATCTACTTGAGTATTTTTTCCCCAAAACATTTGAGTTTACTTAAATTGTCTGTTTCAGTCAAGAGAAACACTCATCTCCAAACCTACAAGCATTCACTGTTCAAACCCCTCAGTGACGGGACATCAGCGTCCTGCTTGTGAACTCTTTTGTAGTCTGGCTCGTATTGATGGATGGCTCAACCTTCAAGTTGTTGGAAGAATTATCTCCAGGTTTGCAGTACTCATAAGCTATAATGTTCATCTTACTGATGTAACAGCAACCCTAATTGGAGATGTGCACTAAATGTTCAGAGACAGCAGCAAAATAAATATTAGAGGAAAATGATGTGAGAGGGGAAATGTAAAGAAGCAAAAATGCATCAGCAATGAAACAATAAAGAGAAAGAGCTTCAGGAGTGGAACTGTGTGTTTGTGTTGTGTGTCAGCGGGGAGCGGGAGCTCAGCACAAACTTTGCCTCTGTTAATTTCTATTAATAAAAGCCATGTAGGAGGCTGAACCGTCAGCCCGAGTCCATCCACACAACACTGAACAGAACTCAGCTTGTCAGTCTGTTTCAAATAGAAAGGTGCTGAATGGATAAAGATGGAAACGGTTTATATTAGAGCCCGACCGATATGGAACTTTTTTCTATCGCTGATACCGATGTTGGGAGGGGAAGCCGACCGCCGATAACCAATATAATGGCTGAATATGTTTGAGCTTTGTCCACCCCAAGAATCTAAGTAAACAGCGAGTGGGGCGGGGCTTGTTTATTTAGAGCAGCTGTTAGCAACCATGAAGCTAAACTAATCAGATCCACCTTTAATTAGTCCCACTCTAGGTTTACAAGTGGTACACTGGTCATAAAAACAGTCTTACTAACCTGCGTTCACATTTTCTAACCTCCACTATTCACCATAACATTATCAAGTGTTACAAATATATAAATTCAACAAAGAAACACCTTTTCATTGTTTCAGACAAAATATTTCAGACAAACAATGCTGAGGACAACAAAGATAATGTTAATAACACTGATATATTTTACATCTACGTCTTCTATTGTTCTGGATAAAGGTTTACAAGGTAATAGCATACTCTAGATTATCTAAATGTTAGCTTGCTAACTTGAGAGGCACATAGCTAATGACAAGCAGGTTGGAGGATTAAAGATAATTTATTATTGTTGATTTGTTTTATAGTTCAGTTAAAATAAACTTACCAGGCTCTGTTCAGCAAAATACTCTACACAGTATTACTCCCTGCTTCGTCTGTGCTGAAAGTGAAACTTAATGCGAACAGCCAGGACTTGAAAGTAGTCTTCATGTGTCTTCTGCTAGATACGTTGTACCGTTACGGCTGGTTCCATCATTTTAGGGGAGAAAATTAAAAATGTTTATATCGTTAAAACAATGGGACAATTATCATCGATACTGATATGTCACCAAAGCCTAAAATATCGACCCTACTGATATGTCAGTCGGGCTCCAATTTATACACTGCTCAAAAAAATAAAAGGAACACCTAAACAAAACAATGTAACTCCAAATCAGCCACAGCTTTTTGGAATCAATGTCAACAGTTAGGTAGTAACACTTATTGTGAGTCAGTTTCAGCTGCTGTGCAAATGGAACACACAACAGGTGGAATGAGAGGCAATTAGCAAGACAACCCCTATAAAAGAGTGATTCTGCAGGTGGTGACCTCAGGTCAATTTCTCTGTTCTTGTCCTTTCTGGTTGAACTTTTAGTCACTTTTTCATTATGTCAGTGCTGTCATACATAGAGGCATCATGAGGCGTTTTTTTACAGCCCACTGAAGTTGCTCAAGTAGTGCAGCTAATCCAAGATGGAACATCAATGCCAGTGGTGGCAAGAAGATTTGCTATCTCTCAGCACAGTGTCCAGAGCATGGAATAGGTAGCAGGAGACAGGTCAGTACACCAAGAGACGTGGAGGGGACCGTAGGAGGGCTACAACCCAGCAGTAGGACCGCTACCTCGTCCTTTGTGCAAGGAGGAACAGGCTGTCCACTGCCAGGGCCCTACAAAATGACCTCCAGCAGCCCCCTAATGTGCATGTTTCCACTCAAACTGTCAGAAACAGACTCCATGAGTGTGGTATGAGGGCCCGACATTCACATATAGGGCCTGTGCTTACAGCCCAACACTGTGCAGGACGATTGGTGTTTGCTAGGAAACACCAAAATTGGCAGATTCGCCATTGGCGCCCTGTGCTTTTCACAGATGAAAGCAGGTTCACGCTGAGCACATGTGACAGACGTGACAGAGTCTGGAGACACCATGGAGAACGTTATGCTGCCTGCAACATCCTCCAGAATGACCAGTTTGGTGGTGGGTCAGTCATGGTGTGGGGAGACATTTCTTTGGATGGCCTCACAGCTCTCCATGTACTAGCCAGAGGTGCCCTGACTGACATAAGGTACTGGGATGAGATCTTCAGACCCATTGTGAGACCATATGCTGGTACTCTGGGCCCTGGGTTCCTTCTTATGCATGACAATGCTAGGCCTCATGTGGCTGAAGTGTGTCAGCAGTTCTTGTATGATGAGGGCATTGATGTTATGGACTGTCCTGCCCGTTCCCCAGACCTGAGTCCAATTGAGCACATCTGGGACATCATGTTTCAGTTAATCCACCAAGGCCACATCGCACCACAGACTGTTCAGGAGCTAACTGATGCTCTAATCCAGTTCTGAGAAGAGATCCTTCAGGAGAACATCCGCCGTCTCATCAGGAGCATGCCCAGGCGTTGTTGGGAGGTTATACAGGCACGTGGAGGCCACACACACTACTGAGCCTCATTTAGACTTGTCTTGAGGAATATTCACTGATGCTGAATCAACCTGTCATGTTATTTTCTACTTTCATATTGAGAATGAAGTCAAATCCAGATCTCCATGGTGTAATAATTTTGATTTACATTGATAATTTTTGTGTTATTTTCTTCTCAATCAATTCTACTGTGCTAATAATAAAGTTTGTCAATGAGAATATTTAATTAATTGAGGATGTGTTATTTTAGTGTTCCCTTTAATTTTGTGAGCAGTGTATATATATATATATATATATATGTGTGTGTGTGTGTGTGTGTGTGTGTGTGTGTGTGTGTGTGTGTGT